AGAGATGTGTATAAGAGACATCTTATCCGAACTGTAAGGAAAGGATGGCCATAAGATTTATAAATAAATAATAACAATAAAAATACAAATAATAGGTCACATTACAATTTATGGACCTTTTATTGTGTGTATACGTTGATTACGGCAGTTTAACTGTAATTTATTCGATGTTGTAGCAGCTTTTAGTGAACACATGTAAAACTTTGCTGACAATTGAAAGTAAAAATATTAAATAATATTCACATGATTGTTATTTTGAACAATGTACGCACATAAACTACTGTAAATATTGATTATCTATAAGAATAATTTAAAAAATGCATTATTTTGCAATTATTAGAGAAATTACAGCCTATGGTCATCTTTTCCGTATGGCCATAATACCCTAAGTTACTCTAAATTGGAAAGTTTGACAGCATACACGGACTTGCTAAAATTTTTCTCGGGAATGCGGTTTTTAACGTCAAAAAGTTTGAACCTTTCTCTTTAATTTGAAAAAAAGTTGTTATGATTTTTTTTTACAAAGTTTCAGCATTTTAAAGTAACCCTTGTATTTTTCTCATGTATGGTCGGCATTACCCGATATGCACCATAGGGAGGTTGGCGATCGGATTTTATACACTGTGTGTATGTGTATGTTTTACACACGCCCGCACGCACACAATGTGCAAAATCCGATTGCCAACATCTCTATGGTGCACATCAATAATGCCGACAATGGATGAGAAAATTGCAAAGTTTGACAGAATGCACGGACTTGCTAACATTTTTCTGGGGTATACGGTTTACAGCGTCATAAAATTTAAACCTTTTTCTTTAATTTGAAAAAAAAAACCAAATCGCTACAATTTTTTTCACAAAGTTACATCATTTTAAAGTACCCCTATTATTCTCATGTATGGTCGTCATTATCCGATGTGCACCATAGGGAGGTTGACGATCGGATTTTGCACATTGTGTATAAGCGGGCGTGTGTAAAACATACACACATACACACATAGTGTGCAAAATCAGATCGCTATGTTCCTATGGTGCACATCGAGTAATGCCGACCATACATAAGAAAAATACAAGGATTACTTTAAAATGCTATAACTTTGTGAAAAAAATCGTAGCGACTTGTTTTTTTTTTCAAATTAAAGAGGAATGTTCAAACTTTATGATGCTGGAAACCACATTCTCGAGAAAAATTTTAGGAAGTCCGTGCATGCCATCAAACTTTGCAATTTTCAATATGGCAAACACGCTCTCAGATTTAAGAGTTTAGAGTAGCAGAAGTGAATTAAATTTAAAATCGACCCATAGTACTTAAAGTAGAGATTTCAAGCTTTTATTTAAAAGAAAGATCATATGATGATTTTTCGCGGAGTTACCGATAATTAAATTTGACCAATTTATACCTAAAATTTTTCTATGCTATAATTTTTTTGAGCAGTGTATATTAAAAAAAAATTAAATAACTTGAAAACGTCAAAAGAGAAGAAGAGTTCAGTAAAAATTTAACCGAGCGATTCGGAGTCAAGAACTAAAGTCATATTTTTATCTTCATTATTTATCCATTATTAATACATTATTAAGTTATGATTATTTGGTAAATTTTATCTAAATTTTTAGTGTATCGCTTTTTTGGAAGGTAGTGTAATTTGGGTTAAAATCTTACTTTACGTAAATGGGGGCTATTCCATGTGAATCGAATCATACATTGGATCTCTCAAAAATTTTTTTAATTTTGCACATAGATAGTGCTCTGAGAGATAGAATTTCGTGCTATAGGATTTTATTATTGCAAAATTAATCGAGATATAAACAATTAAAAATTAGACTTTATTCTGCAAAAATTCATAACTTTGTTACTAATAATGCTAGCTACCTTTTTTTTAAATACGCTAAAAATGTTCTAGTTTACGGGGAAAAAATGAAGATTCTAAAAAGGTTTTGTTTTTCATTGTTTATTTAACAATCAACTTTTTAATAAATTTTTTAACAATTGGAGAGAGTCGAAAAATCTGACAAAATATTTTTTATATACTTTCAGTTTCCTTACATTTAAAAAAAACTCAAGAATGTGTTTTGCCTCACTTTCGAGAAAAAAATTTTTTCAGTTCTCGATAATGGGGAAAATTTTTCAACTTGCGTTTTTTGATTGCAGTCTGCAGTACAGTAAGTACCTAATCTTGCGTTATAACTATTATTCAATATTTTGTTGCATTATAATTATATTTTGCTGTATTATAATTATATTATGAAAGAACAAAATACTTGATAATAATTATAACCCAAGATTAGGTACTTACTGTACAGCAAACTGTAATAAAAAAAAACGCAAGCGAGAAGTCGAAATCGTCGAAATAAATGATAAAATTGTTTAGAGAGTTAAATATTGTAAAATCGATTTTATAAAGTATTGACTTTCCAGTCAATACAAAACAGCGACCGCGAACAACATATTAGCAGTACGGTGGGAATATTTTGTAAGTTTGGCTATTTTGTAAGAGTCGCACGCTGAGAGTCAAAAGATTTTCCCTACATCGAGAATTGAAAAAATTTTTTTCTTGAAAACGAGGCAAAACACGTTCTTGAGTTTTTTTTCTAAAATGTATGATAACTGAAAGTATTAATAAACAATATTTTTCAGATTTTGTGACTCTCTCTCCGATTGTTAAAAAATTTATTAAAAAGTTTATTGTTAAATAAATAATGGAAAACAAAACCTTTTTGGAATCTTCATTTTTTTCCCGTAAACTAGAACATTTTTAGCGTATTTAAAAAAAAAGTTAGCTAACATTATTAGTCACAGAGTTATGAATTTTTGCAGAATAAAGTAGTGTAATTTTTAATTATTTATATCTCGATTAATTTTGTAATAAAAAAATCCTTTGGCTTAAAATTCTATCTCCTAGAGTATTATATATATGCAAAATTAAAAAATTTATGAGAGATGACTGATCCGCTTCACGTGGAATAGTTGTTTACATAAAGAAGGAGGACCTATAAGGGCCGATTTTGGCCCATCCAAATTTTGTCCAAACCCACAAAAATCAATATTTTGAGATTAATTACATTCAATTCGAGTGATTCCAGCTTAAATGGAGCGATGGAGTTGCCACAGGAGTCTCCATAAGGCCGATTTTTGGCCTAATTTTAATTTTATTTTGAATAATCGGAAACGTTTTATTATTGTAAGAATTATCGAAATCAAGTGATTTTAGTTTAAACGGACGTATTTGACACCAGTTACCTTGTAACTAGTCAGCTCTGTACATTTACCACCAACACTTATGATTTTAATCTTTTCGGTGTATTAGACATACGTATGATCAGGAAAGCTTCTCTACCCGTACGGGGGCAAAATAGGCGTCACCTAAGAAATTGGCTTGAAGTGTGCAGCATTTTTTATTGCTATGTTACAAGATAACAGGTGTCAAATACGTCCGTTTAAGCTAAAATTACATAATTTCAATAATTCTTATAATAATAAAACGTTTCCGATCATTTAAAATGTAATTGAAATTATGCCGAAAACCGGCCTTATGTAAACTTCTATGGTAACTTCATCGCTCCGTTTAAATTGAAATTACTTGAATTGAATATAATTGACCTCAAAATATAGATTTTCGTGAGTTTGGACAAAATTTGGAGCCGAAATGAGCATGGGCCCTCCTCCTTTATACAAAGCACATAAATTTTTTATTTCCACATATTTTATATTTAGTAAATATAATAAAGGAGATACACATATAATACATATATTTTCTTCCTGCGCACATTCCTTTCATTTCACTCTTGTATAAACACGTCATTATTCCAATATCATTGACAGTGGTTATTCTGTTTTACATATACTGCACATAGTAAATCTTTAACTAAATAAAATATAATATTTATACAATATTATTTAAACATTTTTGGCAATAAACCTTTTTACCGGAAATCCATTTAAAAGCATTTATTTGACATAATTTTAAGTATTTTAAGTATTTAATTATTTCAAAATTTGTAGTAATTGGACATGTGACGTTTTCAGAAGTTACTCCAAATTTTTAGACAGTGTTTACAATACACGACCATTACAATACACAAGGATGTAAGCGTGCCTATTTATGTATACAGTACTGACAAGTAGATCTCCTTACTTTTTCTACCTATGCTGTCTCTATGCGCAGACGTATTCTGTCATTGAACAGCTATACTTTTTCTTTCTACATCTGTGAACATGGATTTTGATCTTGCTCTGTCCAGTATTATATGTCAATATATGAATAATCATTGTTCTTTATGAAATGATATGCCGCGTGTTTAGAAATAAGCTGTTTGTTATCACTGAATGTATATGGATGAACTGTTTATGAATGCACGCTGATTAATAGACCTTTATAAATTAATATCTCGTTAATTATTGCAAGAATTGCAAAATGATATAGGACTTTTTTGTTCAGCTTAGTCGGCTTTCCTTGCTGAGCAGTATTATATCTAATATCAGACACTCTATATATATGTACTTTAAAGTTATTTATATTTTTAAAAAAGATATTCGTTTGTTTATCTTATCCAAATATACTTATACATAAACATATTGATCGCAAAAATTAATCGAAAAATAAATAGAATTAGAAAGATTATAGAATCAATTATAGGATCAGTATTTCAATCTTACACAAGTTTGGTGAAAGGCTAATTAAGTAAGGGTAATTAAGTAGGCTACACAGTAAATTAATTATTTAGGAGTGTGTTACATAATGAATTTTACTGACATTTGTAGATGGGATCATTCCGAAGATTTGTATGTAATGGAACATAGTAGAAAAAAATTAATTAACAAAAGACAAATAGTTGTCAATATTAACACAGCTGATGAAGAATTTGCATATTTAACAGGCCATGTCGTTAATGACAAAAATTTATTTCCGGCTACAGGATATCTTTTCCTTATCTGGGAAATGATTGCATCGTTGAGAAAACAAGACTTTAACAATATACCAATAATATTTGAAGATGTAAATTTTATTCGCGCTACAGCGCTGTCACAAAACAATAACCTCAAATTAATTCTCTCTGTTCAAGAGGGTAATATTCTTACATAATTAATTAGTTCCCTTAATTTAATAATATATTTTTAATTTTACATATATATTTTCTGTATCCTTTATGTACATGATACTTAAAAAATAGAAAATATAATGTAAGGTAAATTAGACCAAACTCATATTTTTTTTATATCAACAATTTGAAAAAATTTTTTCAATTTTGATCAATCAGGAGACTACCGATATTTTCTCACACGCTGATTTTATTATAATATATTATAATGTATATGTAAAACTTTGCATTTTTATTTATTAGGTAGTAACAGGTTTGAAATAATCGAAGAAGATAATGCTATTGTTACCGGAATAGTACAAATTCCAAATGACATTAAAAATGAAAAAATACCAGTCAATCTTGTTGATTTTGTCGATGATGAAGAAGAAATGAGTACAAAAGACATTTATAAAGAATTGAGGCTTCGTGGTTATCATTACACCGGTCTATTTCAAGGATTAAAAAGCGTATCGGTTATGGGATCTAACGGTCATATTGCTTGGATGTCTAATTGGGTGGCATTTATGGATAATATGTTACAAATGATGATTTTAGGACAAAATTCGAGAAGTCTCCTAATTCCAACAAGAATTCGTAAACTGATAATCGATCCATTATATCATGTACAACTAATTCAGGACCATCTAATTGAAAACAGACGTAAGTAATAAATATATGTGTACACATACAACGCAATCAAAACAATTGCGAGATAAATCAATTTTATTTCTGATTTTATTACAGAATTCTCTGTTCGTCACTATAAATCTTTAAATGCCATAATATCCGGAGGAATAGAAATTTGTGGCATTGTGGCTACTCCTATATCTCGTCGAACAAAACTAGTTAATACCGTTTTAGAAGAATACAAGTTTGTTGCTCATTGTGATTTAGGAATAATGTCGTTACAAAATGCATTAAGAATGTCGGTGCACATTGCACTCGAATGTTGCAATACGATTAATGTTAAAATTATTGAATTTGTTGATGATAATGATAAAATAACACCAGAAAATTTAAATTCTCCACTTATAAATGAAATCTTAAGCGATTTACCTCAGATTCGACATCATACCAGGCTAGTCACGAATTATGGTAGATTCGAAAATATTCTTTTGCCAAACAACGTTTCTGCAACGGAAATTACTAAGTTGTCTAGAGAGGAAAATTGTTTGATGGTTATTGGTTTTGATATTTTGACAAAAAATAGCAAGAAATTATATCAACAATTATTGTCTCTGTTAATGCCACAAGGTTTTCTGTTAATTTTGGAGGAATCTAGTGCAATCTTTGATTATTCATGCTTGAAAACATACGGATTAAATGTCATATTAATAAAACAAATAAATGAAAAGATACTTTTATTGCTAAGAAAAACACAAAATATTGAAAGAAATCAATATCAGATTGTATATGTAAACAATTACAAATTTACGTGGGTAGATGAACTGAAATCAATCATAAATATGCAAAACGAGACTAGTGTAGATATGAGGATTTTATTAATCGCGGAAGGAGAGTTTGAATGTGGACTACTAGGTCTTATCAACTGTTTGCGAAAAGAACCAGGAGGCGAAATGATAAGAGGCATATTTATTCAAGATGATAAAGCACCTACTTTTTCTTTGCAAGAACCATTGTACTCGAAACAGCTACTATTGGACTTACCTATCAATGTTATACGTTCCGGTAACATTTGGGGATCCTACAGGCATTTTCCATTACCATCAATGGAACAAAAATTTGTACCGAATGCTTATGTCACACAGATGGTAAGTCGAAAAGTTCTAATGTACATGGAAAAAAGGATTTTGCTTGAAGGTCTAAAGATTTTGCTGGATACAGATCTGAAAATAATTATTGATGGAAATTCAAACTGATTGTTAGAATATCAAAATGTTTCACAATGCTTATCATTTTTATGTTTCCAACAAAATTATTTTAAGATTAAAATTTTTTGACCTCCAGTAAAATCGTTCTTTCCATGTTTTTATAACAGAATCTTGTGACGGTACGCTTTGCTTGCCGCTCGGATTATACTCGCCGAGGCAAGGTTTGCAAGAAAGCATGAGGCACCAATTCATTTAACATGCACATTTATTCGGTTGGTGAACATATACAGGGTGTCTATAAAGTCTCACCCAGGCCTAATATGTCGGTAACGGCTTTAGATATGGAAAAATGTTTCAAACAAAAGTTGTTTGACTTTAAAAGGAACATAAAATAATATCATTGGTTTGATTTTTGATGGCACTCTTAAGGTCAGGGAAAGGTCACTTTAAATTTTTTAATAAAGTTGCAGTACCGTCGGCATTAGCATTATCCAAGCTGTCCGAACTCTGATTAAAACCTTCCGAATGTTGTTCAGGATCATGACCTTGATAAAACATGTAAAGATCATGATCATTGGAGATTGCGTCTCTTTTTTTCAAAAAATAAGAATTAAAAATGAAAATAAAACAACCTTTAATGGCCTTTAATGACCTTGATCTTGACATGTGTCGTTAAGGTCATGATCTTGAACAACATTCAAAAGGTTTTAGTCAGAGTTCGGACAGCTTGAATAATACTAATGCCGATAGTACTGCAACTTTCAAGCTTTATAATTTAAGATTTTTTTAATAAAAAAATATTTTGTTTATGTGTTTTGGAAAGCTCTCGAAATATGCTACAAGAATATGCAATAAAAAATAGGGGATTTCATTAAAAAAATTTAAAGTAACCTTTTCCTGACCTTGACAACGCCATACAAGGTCAAATAGTACCATCTTATTCCCCTTGAAGTCAAACAACTTTTGTTTGAAACATTTTTCCATATCTAAAGTCGTTTCTGAGATATTAGGCCTGGGAGACTTTATAAACACCCTGTAAATATAAGAGAGTAGCTAGTAGATTTATAATATTTTTCGAGAAAAGTGATCAAGATCACTTTATTGTTTTTACATTTATCATCTTATTTGTTATACTTTTTTATACATCTTATTTGTTATACATTTTATTTGTTATACTTTTCCTTTTAATTTGTGATTTTTTGAAGTCAATTTGTTGACTGTAAGTCTGTGCAAAGTTCTGATAAAGAAGCCTTTTCGACTTGAACATGGTGCCATGGGGGAAATACTGCAGGTCGCACCAGTCATTTAAAATATTTAAATCAACGATTTTCCTATTTAAAAAGAATGCCTCTATGGAATAAACTACAATAATTGATCTTGTATGAAAATTAACAAATGGCACCCATTTGAAAAAAAGTTCGATTTTTAACAAATAATTTTTTCTTTTATTCTGGAGCAGTCTCTTTGTCCATATTGTAAAATGTATCAACGAAGGGAAAATTCGGTTGGAAAGATTGTGAAACTCAATTAACCTAATTAATACCGTCAATTAAGGATTTAAAAATAATCAAGAATTAAATAAAAAATAAAATAATGCATTAATGAAATGATTTTGCGTGATCATTTTATACACAAAAGAAAATATCACTTAGATCTTTTTTTAATTTAGTACAACAGTTTATTCGAGTATTATTTACAAAATGAATTTGCGTGATCGTGTTATACATTTAAAATATCACTTGGATTTTTTTAAATTTAATACAATTTTTTCCGAAGTTGTGTTATACATTGGTTAAAGATAATACAATTTTTATTTGTTTAATTTAATACAACAGTTTTTTCAAGGTGCTACTTTACAAAATGGTTTTATGTAATTAAAAACAAAAATTAGTCAAAGAATGACACTAATTGTAAGAATTAATACGCCGAACTCGTTGCGTTAAAATTTTCCATAAAATTATATTCAGAAATTTGACAAAATTATATATCACTCTTCTTACATATCTCTCGTCATACGTTTCATGGTGTAATAAAGATAGAGGTGTGCTGTTGCGCATAAAGGCAATTGACCAATGAGAATGGTGGAACAAGTGGCCGGCCATATTAATATATCAGCCAATATATCAGCGTTTTTTCCGCGATATTGAAAATGTAATATAATTTAAATAAGGAAAGGACAATTAATGAATTTATTGAATTAAAAACTATTATTATAACTTTTATTATTAATAATTATTATATCCTCTAGTTAATAATAACATACATTATTAAATTATTTGTACATATAAAAAGAATAAATGTAAATAAATGAAATAACTGAAAATATTTTACTTAAAAATTAGAATAAACATTTCAATAAAATATCAGCTAATAAATTTAGAAACTTTTTTCTTTTTATTTCTATTATTTATATCAGAGATCATTTTTTTATTAAATTCTCTTAATCTAATATAAGTACGTGTACGAACCAAGCACAGTATCACATCTTACGGTACATTAAATCTACCATTTATTTTTTCTTTGACTAGCTTTATGACTTTCTGAAATATATATGTTTCTCTGTTGAAACCAAAAGTTCCATAAAAAAGAATAAATTCTCTTTCCATTAAAAACGCTACATTACTTAAGTCTTTACATGAATAAATTAAATAACCATTTGAAAGAAAACCAATCCAATCAAAATTATTATTTGCGATTTCTAAATTTCTAGTTTCATCCCCTAGAAACGGATATTTTATCTTAAATCTACGGGCAACACATATACTTCAAACCTTCAGCCTCAATAATTTCTTGAATGGTGCTTTCGTCATCGTTGGGAATATCTATTAATTAATGAATAGCACAAAAATAATGACATTAATGTTTCAGAAAAAAGTAAAAATGTATCACAAATTAATTGTAACAAGAAACATCGTTACTAATATTTATACTTAAAATTAATATTTTACTATTTATAATAAATATTATTTATATATTTTTGTTACAATTTTAGTTGGAATGTGTAGAAAGATAATAATA